TCAAGCTTGCTTCTTGGGAAGCTAGCGAGCATAGTGCCAGAAGTCGAGGCCCAATTGAAGTCAGAAACTGGTAAACCATGCGCCTTCGCCTGCAGTTCCAATTCCTGTACTCGTAAAAGTAACCGACGATTTTGATGCTCCAGCTGCTTGTGTCTGAGCTCGTGTTGCTTCATTCTCGTCAATTCATTTTTCAACAGTTTTATATACTCAACCGAAGATTTGAGAATTGTGCCCTTGTTCGGCCTGACGTCACGCACGATTTCGTAATATCTGCAACGAATCGAGTTTGAATTATGACCCGTGGCTCGTACCGCAATTCCTCGATTGAATTCGTCGTTTACCTTTTTCTTTCGTTCAAATTAGCCACATTCAGTTTCGGAAATAATATTGGCAAACAGATACCCGATAAATACATACATACATACATACATACATACATACATACATACATACATACATACATACATACATACATACATACATACATCTATAATACATTAGGGTTGTAAACCGCGACTAAATGAGAGCGTGTCAGGTTACTGCATCGCTAAGAAGTAGGTATCGTATTGAATGTTTGCCGATTCAGCAACACCGTATTTTTTCTCGCAGGAAACTTCAATCGAACAACCGAGCCGGAAGAATAAACCGGGAACGAACAAGCTTACGGTTTCGTTTCGATTCGAGCAACTCTATGCGTACTTGACCGATCGCCTTCAGATTTCACATCGATGGAGGAAGCAGTGAGATTCGTAAACGATGGAAACGATGGAAAGGATGTCGCAATGTTGTAATGTCGCGATGTCGGTGTTTGCCGTAGTCGTTAGACCGACACGCTCGCTTCGTTATCGGAGGAACGTTATATTGGCCGACTTGCCTGACTGGAGAGCGTTTCGCGTCTCGCGTCTCGCGTCTCGCGTCTCGTGTCTCGTGTCTCGTATCTCGTCGTCGCGTCGATTTGCTCGCTTTTCCCCTGCGCACGAATCCGGTTCCTTTTGTAGCAAATGTCGCAAAACTTGAATCGGCAAAACTTAACACGACTTAAATGATTTTGCTTTGATATTATTCAACTCACGGGTCATTGGTCTTAGGCAGGAGAGTACCAAGCTCTTTGATCCTATCATTGATGTTGAAACGCCGTCGCCTCTCAACTGTGAAGCATAATTAAAATTATCACGACTATAGCATTATATTAAACCGATAACACTAATTGTAAGTACTGTTTGCATTGAATTACGTCACACGAGCGGAGGATGAAATCTATGAACACATTAATAAACACTTACTCATATTATGATTATCCTTCTTCTGTCTATCTTTTGCCAGGGCGTGAATCTCTGCTTCGGTGAGCAGCAATGGCTCCGGTTTGATTTGTAGCTCCGGAATATTGGACAAACTTCCTGGCTGACCGTCTTTTAGACTGTCGCCCAAGGATTCACTCTCGAACGACAGAATGTCGTCGAGGAGATCCTCCGCCTGTAATCGCATCGATATCGTATAGCCATGCTGGATTAGCTGTGTCAATATACAATTACCAAACCAATGATCCTATTTTCAACTCTGTACAGAGATCGACACAGTGACGTGTGTAGCCCGTTATGTTTGACGCGGTTTCTACAAGCAGTACCTACGCTACGATACGATACAATACGATACAATAAGATACGATACGGTACGGTACGGTACGGTACGGTACGGTACGGTACGGTACGATACGATACGATATTGTATTGTATTGCATGGTATGGTATGGTATGGTACGGTACGGTACGGTACGGTACGATACCTACGCTACTTAAACGGTTAAGTTCGTACAACTGTGAGACAGCGAAAGCATGACGAACGTAAAGAATAAGAATAAGTGGTATGTACCGAGAATGTGCGGTTAAGCTGAGTGTACTCATCATAGGATGCTGAATCGTTATTATACACAACACATACGGACCACGTTGCTTTCATTCCGCAGAAACGTAACAAGTCTTGTGCATAGTTCTTCGCTTTTATCTAGCGAGCTAGAAAGAATATACATAGATAGGTATTCGAGATGCAATTTCAGTACGTATATGATATTGTTGCTGGATATCTTCGCGAGTGAATACCTGGATCTGTTGTTTTTCGTCCTGCCGAACGGAAGATCAGTTATGGAACAAAGGAAACAGATAGCAAGGACACGCGAAACTATGACGGGTGAGGTAAAACGGAAAGACAGAGTGGATCGGAGGATGAGGAATGAATCAAGGGGGGAAATACGGAGCGAGATCGAGCGTGTGCGCGCGGCTTAGGCTTAGGTATATATATGTATATATGTATGTATGTATGTATGTATGTATGTATGTATGTATGTATGTATGTATGTATGTATGTATGTATGTATGTATGTATGTATGTATGTATGTATGTATGTATGTATGTATGTATGTATGTATGTATGTATGTATGTATGTATGTATGTATGTATGTATGTATGTATGTATGTATGTATGTATGTATGTATGTATGTATGTATGTATGTATGTATGTATGTATGTATGTATGTATGTATGTATGTATACTGTATACCTACAGACTGTTCTTATGGCTATTCAGTTGCGTACATGTATACATATTACGTAAACATTACGTGACAATACTAACTGCTGCCCGTTCATGGAAGAACCCGTCTTCTATTCAAAGCCTCGGAGCCATGGCAAACAAGAAGGTGGCAAAGGAACTAAAGTAAATTAGGAAACGAAAGGAGAGAAAAAGTACCTCGATACAAGCAAAAGTTATCGCGTATTTCAATGAGGATCAACGGCTGAGTATTAAGTCACACTTTTCAAAATTTAGAGGAGAGCAAATCAAAGGTGCAAAAACCTTGTAGCTTAGAAACCGTTCAGTAAGAATTCAACGAGAAATAATCGCTACCTTCGAACTATTGCAGAGATTTCAGACAAGTCTCGATATGTAGAAATGGTAAACAATGCATCAAGTTGCCTATGTGATGGACTTTATACTGCTTCGCTCGGAATATTAAAAACTAAAGAATTTGGAATGAGACCATTATTACCGCTGGAGAGAGTGAAAAATTTCATACAGAAAGCATGTAAAATGTCCTTCCTTACATAAAAAAGATGGACTTAATATACTCTGGCTCTGGGGTCCAGATACATATTGTGCATACTATACATATTGTGTATACATACATATGTATAATTCTACCGGAGGTACAACTGTTACATTACATTTTGATTCCTATCACTACGTATCTCTGTATAACTACGGGAACCGATTATGTTGCATTCCCGGTTACTTACTTTAAGTCGTCCAGGGAAAAAAAATAGAAGAAAACGTCGAAATTGCGTAAATTTGAGTCAGGTTTTGCACCGCACCGCGCCTCGTCGCATCTCGCATAATCGTGTGTTACGATTCATATCACCTCACTCCGGTTATAAGATCGCGTAAGCGTAAGCGAAAAACAACGCTGCTATGCTCGATAGGATCTTTCTTCACGTTTCCGGAAGGTCGCGGAAATTAAGACAAGCTAAAGCGTGAAGAAGGAGACGGGAGTGAAACGGGCGTAACCGTGTGTCGTAGCCGAGGTCGTAAACGGATCTAGACCGATGAATGTAAATTCGAAAATGAGAATGTGTGAACGCGAGTTGGTTGGAGAATTTGTTCGTTATCGGGACAGGTAGGTATACAGTATGGTATCTATTGTACATGCATAACATTGTCATGTAACATGTAACGAGGAGGAGGGAGTAGTCGAGCGGTGGAACGCAGGCGCTATAATTTCTGACGCGAATGTTTCGAATTAGCCCGGAGACAACTCTCTGGCTAACATCTCGTTATCGACGATAATGCGTTCGTCGCGTCAGACACGACATGAACCATCATCGGTGTAACTCAGACCGTTGATGTTCGGAGTAGTAACTCAAACACGACAAACCTAAATAACTGCTGAACAATTGCTGTATCTAGTACAGCCACGTTTCCGTTACCTTCTCGATTCGCGATACCATCATCACCTGTGCGTGTACATCGAATCGTTTTCATGTAATACTCCTGCTCGCTTCGACTTGGTTAGATTCGTCAGTTTTATGCCGATAAGCGGTTATCACAGGGATCGCTGTTATCTGTTATCTCGAGAAACATTTTCTGAGAGCGTCTCAGACGTCGGAAAGTTTATGATAGCGAAGACGATGAAAACGAGCGAATGGCTAGAATAATTTAGGCCAACAGCGATCTCGTCGCGCGGCGCATTTAAACGAATCATTGCCTTGTAAAACCGATGAATCGAAATCGGATGCTATTACGTGTACGACTCGTTCTATAACCGACATACTTCCGGTAAGAAATACCTACACGCGCTAATTCTTCTTATCCCTCGTATTCGTGTTCACGAAAACTAAACTATACACGACTCTTCGTACATAATCAATGTTTCACCGTACGACTCGTATCATGCGTTCGAGATGTACAACAGATTCGATTGTAAAACACTTACTCGGATACGTATTTAGACTCGTTAATTTCGTACGCGATTTCGATTATAACGATGTTAATTTCTTTTCGAAGGTACGCAGGTGTTTAAAATTCATATGCATGTATGATATCCGCGTCCTGGAGACAACACGGTTCAAACAATTGAAAATCAAACTAGATTCGTGAACAAACAGATTCAGACTCACCTTACACCTTCGAGCTATTATATTGAACACAGGCATCACTTTGTAGCAGTAGCAGCAGTAGCAGCAGTGGTAGCAGCAGCAGCGGCAGCAGCAGCAGCGGCAGCAGCAGCAGCGGCAGCAGCGGCAGCAGCAGCAGCAGCAGCGGCAGCAGCAGCAGCAGCAGCAGCAGCAGCAGCAACAGCAGCAGCAGCAGCAGCAACAGCAGCAGCAGCAGCAGCAGAGCAAGAGGGTAAAATTGGGTGGATCGCTTTAAACGTAGCCCACTATGATACACGTGGGTACCAGAACGTAACGTTCGATCTGTTGAAGGTGGCGAGAATGAAATGAATTGACTATTTTCATTCGAATACAGCGAACCGTTCGCCGCGTTGTCGTCTTCCGGATACGCCGAATGTTCCGATGCTTGCCGATTACAATCTCAGTTACAAGCTTCACACCTTTTTTTTTCACCGTTTCACCCTTGAAGAATTTCACTGATGCGTAGGGTGAACGGAGTATAGGCAACTATACATACATATACGTAGATCATGAAGTTGTAAAAACCAATGGTCTCGCGATCCGTCGCGACTGTTGACGAACACGTGCCACTGGGCCACTGTGCGTATAGAATGTCCGTCGAAAAAGCGAAAACGCCAAGTTGAAAGTATCGATTTCGATGAAAGGTAGCGAAAATAGAGGTTAAAAGGACAGTTAACGTAGGGATAGCGACGATCGAAATTTAGGATAAAACTAAGGAGATTAACGAAACGGATCATAACATCCGAGAGATTGTCGGATCACGTTGGACCAAGAACAACTTTCAGTGAGGCAACTAACACACTCAGGATAGCTGCAATGACAGGAGCATGACCGCGAACGCGAGCGGAAATTGAAATGGAAAGATGAACAGAACAAGAAACGGGAAAGGGTATGGGTACGGGTACGGGTACGGGTACGGGTACGAATATAGGTACGGGAACGGGAACACACGAGCGAGTAACGGGCACATTTTTCGGCCCCCCCGGTGGTCTGTCGATACGAGGTTGGATCGCGGCAACCTTGCGTTTTCTCTTCGTACTGCTGCTCCGTCGTCGTGACTCGGCTACCTACGATTAAGCATCTCAAGGTTGCGGTTACGCAATAATGTATATGCCGATCTCCTCGGGGCGTGGAGGGAGATCGAGTTAAACGGTGGAAGAATCAAAATCGGAGTGAGTCTGAACTAGGAATCGATCGCCACCGGTGGCGGGAGGTAACCTGGTGTAAAGCCATTGTGAATCTCTTTCGAATCTTGTCGAGCACCGAATTTTTTCGAAGCTATGCCCCACAGTCTGGGATGTCAGTTGTCCAATAAAGAGGGTTGTTATCGGTTCGAGTTGGAAACGATAAGCCGAAAATCTCATCGCAATATAGTTCTCGTTGTCCCTCTACTGGCCCGTTCTGTGTTTTGGCGATGAGGGAAACGGTGCCGATTCAGTGAATGGATCAGTTTTTCTCGTCATGATCCTGCACAGCTATGGTAGTTGGATCCATGGATCGTCGTTGTTACGATACGTGGTTAATCAGTGTCACCGTTTAAACGTCTCTTGCGCAAAACATTTTCCTATCCGATAACTTTTTGATCGTAATAAATCGTGCGCGCGCAAGCTTGGTTGATCCGAAGGAACGAGGAAACGCGGGAAGTTGTTTTAAACTGAATGCCAAACTAACACCGGTGACAAACGTTTCGGTAAGTTTTCGAGACGCGTAAATCGGAACCTCGAGCGTCGATCGGCACGTTTCGGTACTGGTCGCTACTGCTCGAATACGCGGCCACGCGCCACGAGCTCGGTTAGCTCGGTACCCCACGCCTGTTGCTGTCTTGCTCTCCGCTATCGTCTGTTAACAACCCGCTTCCACCCGCTACCCGTCAAATGCCACCGCCGCCGTCGCCGCCGCCGCAAACCAACCATGCGCACACCACCACCCATTCATCCATCCATCACATCCATCGGTCGGCTCGCTTCGCTTCGCCTCGCCTCGCCTCGCCTCGCCTCGCCTCGCCTCGCCTCGCCTCGCCTCGCCTCGCCCGCGCAACGCCACGCATCGAGTCGCGTAGTCGCGTCGTCGCGTCGCGCACGTCACTGGTCTGCTGTCTCTTGCTTAAGCGCACTCGAAGCTTCCGGCCGGACCGTTCTCTTATCCTACGAGGCGATAATGTATTAACCGAGTGTACCCGGCTTTGCGTAACGCGGAATTTTCAATGAAAAATCTTTGCGACTCGTTTCTAAACATTCGAATATTCCCTGAAAAATTTCACGTCCCTTTTCATTCACTTTTCCCTCTCCGTTCGTTTCAAATGTCTTCTGATGTTTCGTCCAAAAAATTTCTCTTTCGAATTTCGCTACATTAGAAATTCTGGTCTCGCGCAGGACGTTGAACGCGCAAGGTATTTGGTTATTCGATTGCGATAACAGAGTTGGTTTCTCCGTTAACTAGGTTGTGTTTCGCGATCATATATTACGTGTTCCGTACAACAAAGATTGCGTATCGTAAAAGAAGATGGTATGTAATGCAAGTGGTAGCAGGTGCGCACGACTCAAAGTAAGCAATCAAGTATTAATAAATGACCGAATAAAATTTCAAATTGAATCACCAACAATTTCGTTGGTTTTCCGCAAATGGAAATCTATACAACGCGAGAGTGTCGAGAAGAGTAAGCGTATTCTTTATCAAAGTACATATAATATATGTGTATGTATAAGTACATACCTTCGTAGTATCACGTGGTCGTCGGACAGCATCGCGGTCACAGACACGAGCCGAATACCAAGAGAAAAAGAAAGCGATTTGTCCACGCCTGTGGATCGTTGAACATAACGTATAGTTACAACTTCGAATCGGTCTTATTGTTAATGGAATAATCTGTTGCGTTTGAAAGCAATAGGTATTGGGCCGATTTCTGTCACACTGATCCGAATAATAACGGCGAGCTGTGACCCACACACCTCTGTCCGTCGGAAAACAAAAAAATTTCAAGCACCCGCACACATGTATGCATGTATGTACATAAGTATGTAAGTACATACATACAAGGTACCTACTATCATACGTAGTTATGTGTCATTGATTAGGCTTGCTTGATTGAACGGTGTTCGTTCAGTTAAGAAATCTGTGTGGATTCCACGAACAAGGTTTCGAAAGATGTATAGGTATGTATAGATAGAGTTTCTCTCTGACAAAATGTTCAAAGTATCCTAGATTCCAAATCGATCTGCTCTCTTCAGCACATCGCATTCCGTAGAAATTGATGAAATTCCGTACAATTGGTGGTTACACTCGTCAAGAGTGTAACGCGTAAAGCGAAACGTGGGCGACCTCTGTACAAAGTTCTATAGGTATAATGTATATGTATGTATGTACACAGTTAACCTTACCTCGGAATTACTGGTTGCGACGCTGGAAAGACCAGGCGACATGGCGCCTGATGTAGGATCTGGGCTGGCCGTTGCCGAATTTCCGAGCGACAGTACCGTGGGTGCATGCGAGTGCGGCTGAGGGTGTGGATACGACGCCAGATGAGGATGCTGCGGTTTTGGATGATGCACTATTGGTCCCGGCGGTGCACTTTGGACAACCATTGGACCGGACATCGGTACTGATTCGACTGAATTTTTTTCAAGGACGCTTTCTGTTTCAGCGCTACCGACTGCACCGCCACGAAACGACTCGTGGAGATACTGCCGCACTTGATTCTTTTGCTTCTGAACAACATGATAGCGAGTCGGATTCTCCAGCAGTGTTCGTACCTGAAAAGAACAAAATTTTAACCTTTTTCTAATTTTCAAATTGTCTATTCTTCGCTCTATTCCGCGCTGACGTACATATTCTACTCGCAGGTAGATACGAGTCTAACACGGGACATCCATAATGTTAGTTCTTGCCCACGCTTGAACACACTGGAATTTCGTCCGAATCCCTTGTTCTCGCTATCTGTCCGGTTAGTTTGTTGATTGAAAAGCTTTGTAGGAATGGTAACGTAAAAAATCATGTATGTATGTATGTATGTATGTATGTATGTATGTATCTATGTATCTATGTATCTATGTATCTATGTATGAATGTTAATATGTATTCTGTAAGTTGCTTACCAAAATGTTAAAAAATTACTTTTTTTTCCTGCCTTCGGACAGTACGAGGGTAGTATAAATGGGTTTCACTTTGGGTTCCATTCGAGTTTCAACAGCACCTTAGGTACAGTGTGTTTACGCGTCATTTGTCTATACGTTCTAATATACGTATACGTATGGCTTATCCTACTACGTCAGATTAACGTAGATATCCTTGGTAGGTTACTTTTTGACACGATCGGTACCTGTACATACTGTGTAAATAGTGTATGGGCGTGAATATTTTCATAATGAAATAAAAAAATAGGAAAAATAAATTCATGCATATGGAGAAAGAATAGACCGCGGGAGAGTGAGAAAGCGAAGGAGCGAAGGAGCGAGGAAGCGGGGGTGTGATTAAGTGACCGATGGAAAGATTGGAAAGCAAGTGGACGGCGTACATACATACATACAAACATATATGCATACATATGCATACATACATACTTGCAAGACTTGCGGCGGCACGTCTACCCCGATGGTTGAAAGGGACGCGGGGGGTACGGGTCTGGGATGAGCAGCTGCTGGTCTCTGCTGCTGTAAGCTCTGACGAAATTCTGCCTCCCGCCTCTCTTGTTCCTGCAGCTGCTCTCGCATCAGCTGGAGCTTCAATTGCGTGCGCGAGGTGGGCGTCGCAGTCTTGAATGTTGGCGGACTGAAAATTATCAAAAACAGTTCGAACGGTTCTGTACGAGATTTTTGTCGCTACATAGGTTAGCAACGTAATCTTAGACCGCGCATTGCAATGTTCAGTCGTTTATTTTACACTTCAACCACCAAGCTATTTACCCGTGCCCGTGAGCCTAATCGAAGGCTCGAAGATAATACACCTACATGTTACATCTGGTATTACGGAAAAAATAGATCCGATCTATTCGCGGTGATAAGAGCGATAGATGAGGGAATGAATGTACATACATACCAACAGTTGGTCACAAAAGTACCTATTCGAACATGTTAGGCACTAAGCGAATTTTGCATAGAATTGTATGTAGGTTTGCAAATACAAAACTGTATGTATCAAATGCTATGTTTTTGATGTACATTTATTGTAAAATAAATTAATAAATTTTTATTAAAAATAGCATTTGACACGTATAGTTTTGTATTTGTAAACCTACTTACAATTCCACGCAAAATTTGCTTATAACTGTTACAACTCTATATGTACATATGTACACACGTACATCTATGTACAATATACATACATATTCTACTCGAGGATCGATATCTACGGGGGAACAGATGCGCGGATAAAAGTCTTCTATGGAGATTAAAATCGCATTCGAGTTCGATAGAAAATTTCAGTAAATATAAGGAAAGAACGATGGGTTGCTGGTTAACGCATGGCCGTCCTATAGTTCGCTGTACCGATAGGCTAGTGGACCTGCCTAAAAGGTGTTCCCAATTTGGGAACAAAGCCAAGCGGTGGCCATAAGATAACCAAAATAGACGGATTGCGCAATTTGGCGGACCGGTCTTCGGTTCCCGTTCTTCGAGTTGCGATCTTTTTACTTCCTTCCGGTCGCATCGAAGAAACCACGCAGCGGAAAACTGTTCTCGTTCGTTTCGGTCCGATCAAGAGCTCGTTTATTTCGTGCACTGGCGTCTTACGTAACCATCTTCGGCGAAAAACTAAACTAGTTGTCCTACATACATACTCATATCGTTCAGTTTCCTTTACGTTCGTACCATCCTCCTGCTCTCGAGTCTCTTCTCGTCTTCCTCTTTATCGTACTGTTTCGGTTACACTGTTCCTTTCTATTCATTTCCTTCTATTTCAACACTCTTTAATTCCCAGTACATATCGACTTTTATGGCCTTTAAGCCTTTTCCCCTCAAGGCTGCATTACGAACAAGTTCGTTGCAAGAAATATGCATGTATGTCGTTCGTCTAAAAACTCACCGAGATCCTTAGCAACAATTGTACACGCTTAAATATGTATTTAGTCGGACGACACTGTACCGACATTAAAGCTCACTTCGTCCTCCTCTTTCCGTGAAATTCTACGATAACTTTAAGAGCGAACCGACGTGAAAGGGTGCTATTGGTGTTATTACATAGGTGGCTATAAATAACCATATGTAGCATCTTTCCTAACACTAACGGAGGAAAGAAATGAGCGTTTAACTATGAAAACGGAAGAAATCGGAGAAAACGAAAGATTGTACTGACGAAAAGATGAAAATTTTCTATGTTGCGGGACGCGCAAAGTCGACGAAAGGTCCACGCGCAACAGCCAAGGACGCGCTTATATTTAGACTCAGTGTTTACGATCGAGGAGAACGCGAACATACCGACAAAGAGAAACCGTGCCATGTCGACGAATTTCCGTCGGGCGAGTTACAGTTTCGCGAAATGTCCAATTAATAATTATTTAAGTTGAGGCTCGAGAATAGGAAAGAAGGAAAAGATCAGCAAGTTAGGTAAGCTATTTACACGACGGAATACATAGAAGGAAGGCAATGGAAGACGGTGGAGGGCATACGGTAAATTGTACCATGTAAGAAGCAGAAAAGCATATACACATATGCGAGTTGAATCGAACGTAAAAAAAAAGAAGAAAGGAGCATGATATCGGAATCTCGAACCGTTGTACACAATTCTGTACCAGCCTTGCGGATGAGTGGCGCGCAACGGCCGGGCAAATGCAACGTTCGTGAGTTGAGCGTCACCGGCGTCGTCAGGATTGCCTAGCAATGGGGATGTCGTGGCGGCGGTGGCGGCGGTGGCGGCCGCAGCTGCCGCAGCGGCCACCGTTCCGTCGACGATCGACGGATCCATCTCGAGGATCATGCGCAGATCTTCGTCGATACCGATATGCACGCGCACATGTTGCTCTCGTTCATTTTCTCCTCGTCGTTCTTGACGTTCTCGTCGTTCCTCCTGTTCTCGGTGATGATTCGGAGTGGACGAACAATCGGTGATTCGTGCAAGACTCTCGTACCCGTCGCTCGAGTGCTCCGTTTTGCCGCGTCTCGGAAATTTAAACGGTAGCGAAGTTGTAGTCACCGCTTGATCGTTGAAACGTGCGAACGGAGTCGAGGCGAATCGGGAGAATGCGTTCGTCGATAATGGCATCGACGACGACGACGACGACGACGACATTGTCGACGTCTGCGGGGTTTCCGATCGGGATCCTGATTCCCGTTTCGGTGCCGATTCCAGTCTCGGTATTATTTGTGATTCCGGTACAACGGATCGCGGGACTCGCAAATGCGATACACACCACCAACTCGGCAACGTCTTTGATAAGTTTGATCTAGCCGACGTTGTGCCTATTGTCGTCGTAGTTGTCGTAATTGTCGCAGTCGTCGTCGCCGTCGTCGTCGCCGTTGTTAATGTTATTCGATTTCCCTTCGTGAAATTCGACGCGGTACCGGCTAATGATCGGTCGATGTCGTTTATTCGATTTAACCGCGAAACTAGATCTTCAAATTCGACAATTTGCCGCACAATTTCGGATGATGTCTCTTGCATATTCTTCGTGGGAGGGGAGAACGCTTCGCGACCGAACGAGCCGAGGCGTCGCGACGCTACTAAAACGAGTATTCGCGTATCATCGCTGTCAAAGATGCCGTCAACGACCACGCTGTCAGCGTCGAGAAATCTGCGCTCGCAATTCTAAACGTGGATTCGTATCGTTACTCGTTCTCGTTCCCACCCTCACTCTAATTCCTCTGAATTGCGAGCACGAATGCAAGCGCCACGAACTGTCGCGCATTCGCTCGTCCACGCCAACTCTCAATCTCAATCTATCGTTTGCACATCAATTTTTAGACCTTAGCATAGTACATAATACGATAATCGCGCTGGTCGAATCGAATCACGGTAAATAAATAATACTAAGTCAGTCAAGCGTGAGTTACCGCAAAGTTAGCTTTTTTTCTAGTTGGAGATGGAGATTCGTACGTAAAATCAACGATCAAGAACGATCTTTTCGGTGATGCTCCATGGTCATTGTTCAATAAAGTTCAATTACCTCTGGACTGCTATGGACTGAAATTCGGCTCACGTTCGTTCCGATAGCAGTCTCAAGCAGTCTCTACACATATATAAGTACCTAACGGCGAACGGCGAACGCAAGAGAAAACAGCGCATCACGAATCGTGACGTGACGGGTGGATCCGAGTCGAGTTGGACCGAATTGTTCCGAGTCGAGCCGACGGGAGTTCGTAAAACGCGTAGAAGAGGAGGAACGAAGAGGGAAAGTCACATAGCACACACAACGCGAAAGCTATGTATAGCCAAAGGTTCGACAGCATGGTAGTCTGGTAGACACTAGACTCTACCTCTACATTATAGAGAGCGTGAATTCCTCGTGCGTTCAACAAGTACGTACAAGCTAAAGAGACGTGTGAATATTTAAGTTTGACACGCGTATCAAATATACCGTAACGATTGGTAACGTACAGCGTACCTGTCGGTATTGGGTGTTCTACTCTTTAATTCGTAGTACATGATATCTTGCATCGGTGTTGGTAGGAAAGATAAGGTTTGTTCCCAGTTGTCGTCGACGTTGCATCCATGTCCGTGAAGGTTATTTGTTCGTTCCAGTGTAGTTCCCGTCAATTTTTCGTCGCATCGTCGTCCAGATAGATCCGCCTCCCGATGCTCCAAGTCGGCCGTGATAGCCGCCAGATCAAAGCCCATGTCGATTCCGGATTCCTCCATTCTTGGGGCTGAAGTATCGTAGTAGAATTGTCTAGGAAGTGGCGCGCAGCAGAGCGTCAAAGTTACACTGGTCGAGAATTAACCAGACACAACGAGTTTCCCGGGAATACGATTGGGATTGGAATTGGGATTGGGATTGGGATTGGGATTGGGATTGGTATCGGGATCGGGATCGGGATCGGGTTCCGGATTAGAATCGGAATCACGATCGCGATCGCGATTACGAGAAGAACGTCGTTTTCGAGGTTTGCTTTCCAACGTGGCGCCTCCCCACTGGTAAAAGTTAAGACGCGCGCGTGTCGAGCGATAATCGGAGCTACAGGCGACAGCAGACGCGGGACTCGAGAGCCGCGCAAGAACTGCTCATCGAGGGGCTAGGGACGGACGGGAATATGTAGAAGCACGACCGACCGATATGCACAACACGCTCGACGCTCGATGACCGATCCTCGATACCAGATGAGAAACGGCAACCGGGCAACGGGAGACGGAAGACGAGTAGATCGCGAGTATTCGCGAGTCACTTGCAAACAGGCATCCGCGATCTTCCGACCGTTACCCCCATTCAGTGTCATTGACGACATATGAGAGAAAGCGCACAAACGAGAAATGTACGCTCTCTCGCAGGACCAGCATCAGCACGTAGTTTGTCGACCAGCAGGAAAATTCCTACTAAAACTGTGATTATCAACACGTTTTAGCTGAATGTATAATCATTTCACTAGTCAATGCACGATTATTTCTTCGAAATTTTCCAATCTCGAGAAACCGTAAAGCTGCATCTAAACGCGGCGCAGCATCGCGTATTACAAGTAGGTTCCTACATACCTACTACATATACATATGTACATATGGTTGTGTACGGTGTACAGTACAGTCAAGTACAGTGCAGCACGAAGCGCGCGATTGCAGGAGGAATTGTAAAACGTGATAGTACTGCCATCTCACGGCTAACTGTTCAATCTTTCGAATCGATCGTGATTCACGATCTTGAAGAGCGGCCGTCGAAATTCGCATTCCCGGTAGTGTATGTGTATGCGTATTCGTCTCGACGCACATTAATCCAACGAAACTAAATATGTACCACTTCCTTCCCTTTTTTCTGAGACAAATTTCGCATTACATAACGATAACGAATTATGCCACAAGTATATACATGTCAGGCAAAATGGTTTCCATAATTATCCATCAACCCTGTACATATGTGGATTGTATAATACATACTTAATTATGTATATGTATGTATGTATGTATAACCAAACCTGTACGCCATATGTTCCGATGGTACATGTAGCTTGTCGAGTACGCGAAATACTAAATATGACGCAAGATCCATGAAATTTCTTTTGCAAAATGCGAAAAACTCGCTGACAAGGAGATTTGAACAGCAACAGAGCGAGTCAAGTAGATCGACCGTACCTTAAACGGGCGGCCCAGTTGGTCGAATATTGCAACGAAGAGTGATTCGGCGATGAATTTTCAATTGAACGTTTCTTTGTATTTAGCGTTCCATTCGCTAGCTGCATTAAGCCTCGGCGGTATTCATGCGTTCGAAAAGGGGAAACGTTTCCCTCCGGAAATATCAGAAAAGTTGGACGAATATTGGAACGCGTACAAGGTATATGGCCGATCGACTCGTGTTGTCGTTTGTCGTCGATTAATCGTTTACGATATCGTTGTTCTCAGGTTCGTTGCAACAAGAGTTACGCCGGAAATGTTGAAGCTGCGAGAAGAATGGCTTGGGAAGAAAATTTGGTGACGATTTACAAGCACAATTTAATGGCGTCTGCCGGTCATCACAGTTACACATTACGCGATAATCACATGGCGGATCTTGGAACGAGGCAATATATTCGAGATATGGTTCGTAATAGTAAAAATTGTATCACGAGTATATTTATTGTACGTTACATATGTATATGTATGTATGTACAGGTACTATCCGATGATTTAGAATTTAGAATTTAGAATTTAGAATTTAGAATTTAGAATTTAGAATTTAGAATTTAGAATTTAGAATTTAGAATTTAGAATTTAGAATTTAGAATTTAGAATTTAGAATTTAGAATTTAGAATTTAGAATTTAGAAAATTAAAGGGACATGTGTTTATTTTCGACTGTTCGCACAATGTTTTGTGTACAGGTAAAACTAATTCCGAGCCGTAAGCGGCGCGTATCGAAAGAGCCAATGGTCGGGGCGGTATTGCACGATCCTCGGCGCGTTCCGGCGAGGCTCGATTGGCGCGACGTTGGCTTCCGAACTGGCCCGGAAAACCAGAAGGATTGTGGCAGCTGTTATGCGTATTCGATAGCTGGCAGTATTCAGGGACAAATATTCAAGGAAACTGGTACGATGATTCCTCTCAGCGAGCAGCAGTTGATCGATTGTAGCTCCTCTACCGGAAATTTGGGTTGTTCCGGAGGTTCTTTGAGAAACACGCTCAGGTATCTCGAGAAGGCGAAGGGGTTGATGGCTCGTGTTCATTATCCATACAAAGGGAGAGTATGTCATCCATTTAGTCCACTTGGTAGCTAATAATGCCTCTAATCGAAACGATTATCCGTGATTTCGTGTTCCCTTGATGCCATTAAAATTAGTCCAATTTAAGAAATTCTGTCGGAACCTCATCGCAGAGTTTGTTTCTCCGAAACAAACGATGATACTCTCATCGAGATTCTGTTCTCCCGTTTCGTAATGCTTATCACTCAGCGATGACTCAGTTTTTATACATGTACAGTGTAGAGTATAGTGGCTGATGTAACGAAAACGTTTTCTCGTAAACTGTATACATACATACACGGAATATACATATGCGAGCATCGAAAACATTACGCAAAATAATCAACATCAGAGAACCACGGAGCGACTGACGAGCAACAGTGTTTTTACATCTCTATATCTATATCAACTATATCTATACTATGTACAGTACATATTTTTTTAGTCACTTTCGATTTATACCGGACGCGATCTCGGTTCCATCGCGAAATTCTTCCGTCGTCTAAATTCAAGAGGCCAGTAAACAATTCGATGCGTTTGCATTGATGCAGCAAGGTGCGTGCCGTTTCCATGAAGCTTTAAGCGCCGTCAATATTACTTCGTGGGCAGTGCTACCAGCACGCGACGAGAAAGCTTTGGAAGCTGCCGTTGCAACAATAGGTCCAATTGCGGCTTCGATAAACGCCAGTCCAAAAACGTTTCAGCTTTACCAGTAAGTATACTTCCTGTCTTACAAATGAAGTTTCGCCGGGAAGCTACAGATTAGTTAGTAGTCGTACACTACGTTTCTTATTTCTTTCTATTTCAATCACAAAGGATTGGTCATTTTGAATAAAGTTTTCGTTGGACTTGAACATTGTTCCGACAATGTAAAAATTATAAATTAAAATTTGCTAAAACAAACTACATTCCCAAGTTGCTTAAAGTCTCTGGTATAAAAAAGACTTTTCACTGTAAGAGTACTTCTTCGAAATAACGTCATGATCAGCTAGCTATTAATTGCCGCTGCAATCTTACCCAATATGCTGACGTATACCTATACCTATACCTATACCTATACCTATACCTATACCTATACCTATACCTATACCTATACATATGTCTACGTATACATACAGTGCCGGCTCAGGCTCAGGCTCAGGCTCAGGCTCAGACACTACGGTCAGAAAGAAAGAAAATATTGAAACCTAATAGCTCCGCTGGCCCAATTTCACGTTAATTATATGTACGTATATTGTGATATGTTAATAATGGTCCCTGACGTCGAGTAGAAAAATTGATCGATTTGACGCGGAATGGCCCGATTAAATTTTCTTCTGAGAAACATTCGACTTTCTATGAACGATAGATCTTTCCGTCGGGAAATGTTCGACGAATGGTAAAGACGAAACAACAAGAAGGCGAAAGGAAAGCAAAAGAAGAAAGAATTTTTGACACGCGATCAACTCGTGTTCGGGGAATGTTTACGCGAAAAATGAGAATATGAAAACTCATATCGCCCCCTTTTGACAGATACTACACCAAGGAATTGGTCCAATTGTGCGATAACCTTTGGTGCATCGTTCATGCGATGCCCCTGAAGCGGCAACGAACCAAAGTCATTGGACTCGCGATCTGTGGTTGAGAAGGGCACGGAAGTAATATCGGCGACAAACATACATGTACATCGAAATTAGTAACCGTTTCTTTAATCGGAAAAACTACCGTCCACTTTCCTACACACCCCATTTTTTTCTTTTCACTCACTTTTTCTCTCGCCCCTTCCGGATTACAGTGTACATGCTGTGTGTATGTACATGTACATGTACATGTACACGTACGTAGATACGTAAACGTGTTTACACAGATTTTAAAATCTGTTCATTTGAGAATGAAAATTAAACAAAGAATTCTGCCCGATTGGATTTGCAGCGAAGGAGTCTACGACGACGATGCTTGTAGTTCGGACATGGTGAATCATGCGATGCTGATCGTCGGATACACGCCAAAAGAATGGATCCTGAAAAATTGGTGGGGCGATGGGTGGGGCGAAAAGGGCTACATGCGGTTGGCTAAAAACAAAAACCGATGCGGCATAGCCAATTACGCGGCTTATGCAAAAGTTTAACCGTATACAGTTGCAAAGAATTACCCAAAAACCGACGCGACGCAATTGTTATTGTTCCGTTTAGCAGTTTAGCCGCATGAAAAAAATCGTTCTCATTTCGGACAAGCCTGAAATGAACTATTAAAGAATTTCATTGTGAACGTAGGCATTCTAAAGCGTTATTCTTTACTCTTTTTTCCCTTCGTCCTTTAGCGTGTATCCATGTTACTCATTGCGGGAAAATATTGAAAGTACACGGCGTGCGTCGCGTCGGGTAACGTCGATCGTTGTGTGATAGCTGGTAGCTCGTGATGGAGGAAACGGCTGTAAAATAGACTGCGATCGTTCTCGGAAGCGATACTTCGATCGGCCTTGAATCGAACAACCAAGCCATCGTTCTCTCGGAGATAATTACTATCGTGCAACCGAGTTCGGATCAAAGCTTTAGCAAAGTAAGCATTTAATGAAAACAAGGATCCGTGAATCTGTCAGTTTCGTCCGGTGGTTAGATTCGACAAAGGTCGAAATTTATACCTGAATTTGTAAAAATGCCGTAAGACGTTCAGTGCACACACAGTGGATAAACGAATATGTATACATAATATGTACATTCATATAAGCGGTGCGATGCGGCGCGGCGGGAGAAAGAGGGAGCGAGGGTGGGAG